CTTATTGGATAGAGTGTAGAAAATGCTATACTACCTTATAGAGGGGAATCATTGCCAATACCTATGTATAGATAAAGAGAAAATTCCTTCTTATCACAAAATTTGTAGATTTTAAGACCATGGGAGTAGGATATAAACTTGTAAAACTACAATTATTATCCTTCTCAGTGTCTTACTCCTTGCTTTTGGTGTATTTAGTCATTCAGTGATGGTTTGGTCTAAATTTTCTTAATTCTTGATATCAAAGATTTGTAGTATTAAGGAATTCCAGTACCACATAGAAGCAACATAGTTTCTTTTCAATAAAGCTCCTTTTGAAACAATCAAAAAGAAAAGTAAGACACATAATTTGAATTGAATGAAATACCATTCTGATGAGGAAAAAGTTCATTGTGCTCAGAAGTTCAACCAACTTTCAACTTTTTGTCCTTTTTTTTTTTCTCTTTTCTACTTCCTCTTACTCCTAAAATTTATTCCAGCTTTCATACTTGCTAGACAGAAGGTGTTGTGTATTTTCCTATTTATTTAGTAAAAGGTAAGACTCATATAACTCTTAAGTTTACTTTAGCTGGTATGATTTACAATAACATAACTTAGGAAAAGAAGAGGTGGATTTAAGGGAATGATGACGATCAGTATAGATCCACGTTGCACGAGGCGAGGAATGTGTTAGGGAGAGATGTTAAAGAAGTTCAAGAAACACAGTTGTAAAATTGGGCAGGTGATTGTCCGGGCTTTAGAAAGAATCAGTAATGAGTTATGCTTACTGAAATACTTCAGTAAGGTGTTATGTTTCCATAATGCTTCATTCCTAGCTTCCGATATGTGTGATATTGCAGCTGTCAGGATTGCCCATACCAATTGCCTGCTAACTTTGCCTTGCGCTCTTCGTGCTATTAATTTTCAGCTTCCTTTATGTCTATGCTCCCACATGTGAACTTCAATCGGTGCGTTATTTCTTGTATACAAGCCTTTGATATCACACACTCGAAGAAGTGATGTGTGATGTTGGCATTCCCACATAGTGTTCAAGTTCTGTCTTTTGTTAGTCCTATCTTGTATAGCCTCTCTCTGGTTAGTAGTCTTCCATGTATAGCCAACCAGTAGATGAAGTCGTGTTTTGGGATGTTGTAAGTATTTCAGATTGGTCTCCCCCATGTCAGTTGTGGTCCAGTTCCTAGCCTCCAATTGTACCTACTAACAGCCTTCTTCGAGTGTGTGTTATCAAAGGCTTGTATACAAGTTATATAGGTTTTTGCTCGATCATGTTGACTCCTCGATTTTTGGAGGCAAGTAATCAGCTATGATCTTAGCTATTGACTACTAACCGCCTGGAAATTCGATTGTTCGTTACAAATGCTATTAGATTAGGTATGTTGCAATGACCTGAATATGGTCATTAACAGTTGATTAGGCTCTAAGATATTTAGAGAGGAGTAGACATGAAATACTGCTTCAGTATCCAAATGTAAAGAATAATTTATCTTCATTAAACTGGCGAAAGAAAAAACTTAAATCAGATATTTTCATTATCAAAAGTTTGCCTGTCTTGTTATTTTTGCCTTTTTAATCTTGTATCCATGTTGTACACTGCCTCAACTAACTCAGATTCGCACGATGTAATGAGATTAAGATGGAAATCAGGCTTTTAACTACTTGTGAATTCATGAATTGCTTAGGCTTTTGTCTGTGAACCTTCTTACTCAAAAATATACATGGAAGGTTTCTCCAAAAGTTCTAAAAAAAAACATAATCTAATTCCAATAGAAGTTGAATAAGAATAATTATAAAAAAATAAATTTGGTGCATCCTTGGATGTCTTGTTAGTAGCAGCAGCAGAATGAGCACCCTTTCACAGAGCTTTAATCCCTTTGCAGGACTTCATGTGGGCATGAAGTTTCTCTGGCTTGAATGGTTTCCCACATTGCCTGCAACACATTCATAAATTAAATACTATGCTGACATTTAAGAAAAGATACTCCCTCCGAACCACTTTACTTGTCGAATTTACTAAAAATAGATAGTCCAAAATAATTGTTATTTTATAATTGTGTATTTTCCTCATGCCTTGAATCATCCATTTCCACAGTATCCAACACTACATCTGTTCTTCATACCTCAAATCTTCTTCTAGTACCAGCAATTGTCTTATTTAGGTGTGTATTCCCATCAGTCAGCCCCCTTTATACACATTGTTCATTCATTTTACTCGTAGGTTATCACCTTTGTTGGCTATATTCCAGACATACTTTCCTGCTGCAACTTCATTCCATAACACACAATCAGTGATCCGAAGTCGTCCTTTTCCTTTTCGCTTGCATACTATATCCCATGAAAGGAGAAATTCTGATAAGTTACCAAATTCAAATTCTGAAAATCTATAATTTGCCATTCATGTAATATTTCCTATTCACAATTCCATTGTAATTCTATCCCATTTTCCAGAAAATTGGGAATACCCTTATCGCCAATTCTGCTGCATATTACTCAATTTGTTTCGACCTACCTTTCAGATTTCGTCTTCCTAAATTGATAAGAATTGCTTTTCTTCAATTTCTGGTTTTTAATTTGTTTCAATGTTTGAAAATCAGTTTCTTATGGAGGTTGTGGAAGGAAAACTATGGATATGATATAAATAAGCTTAAAAAACCTTTTGGTTGGTGAAATCTGATTATTTGCTTGGTATCTGATGACTTTATGGATTGCAATTTCTTTTATTCTTTGAACCCCCAAGTATTGAAGGATTGGTGACTTAATGTGAGGGCATTGCTTGATATTTTAGGCATAGATTGAAGAAAATTATTTGAAAGTTACTTATTGTGATCAGTTCAGCCCATGAATTTTGTTTGTTAGAGTATATTTTTCCTGCAAATAGCTTTTTACCTTTCAGCACTGTTTAGGCAGTGAGAAAATAATAGACCAGTATACA